TCATCACTAATACAAGGTATTCATCAGATTCAAGTCTTAATCCTTCTGTTCCATATTCAATTTTGGATCCTATGGTTGATGCTTCAGACTGATCAATGAATGTTATGGGTGAAGAAAACTTTATTAGGGATCCTTTTGGTACTCCTTCCTTGGTAGAGAAAATTTGATACTCAAGTTATTTGTTATTACATTGGAAGATCTGCTTCTTTGGTCTTCAATTTCAGTGATTTAGAGATCTTTTTGTACTTTGATTTCACTTATTGGATTCTATTTCTTGTGTGGAAACATGCAAGAATGGTACCAGAAAAAGGTGTAGGATAGGCATCTATTTTTTCAAAAAAAATGTTCAAGAAATATGAATTCAAAAAGGTATAATTCCTTTTGAGGGTGGGTGTCTAATTTTGAATTTTAGGGTTGAGAGAGAGAGAGAGAGAGAGAGAGAGAGAGAGAGAGAGAGAGAGAGAGAGAGAGAGAGAAGGGATTTATGTGAGAGCAGGTCTAGGAAATTAAACAAAAATAAAATAGGATTAAAAAAAACTAAAATGATGCAAATGCTCATAAATTTTAAAGAAATGTGAGACTCAAATGATGTTTTAGATGACCAGTTAAGTCGAAAGACCAAATTTACATGAATGTTTTAATTTTAGACTGAGCATGCAATAAAAAATATACTTAAACGATATATTTTTGGCTAACCATATAGACTCATTTGCAGTTTACTCTTTTAAATTCCAAATTAAAAAAAAAAAAATAACTAAAATAAACATGAACTACATTGGAGAGTACAATTTAGAGCTAACAACTACAAGGTGCTAATTTGTTTTGTCAAGATGTTATAATCATTTATTTGTCTATTAGGGTGTGTTGTACTCTTGGTTGCCTTTCTACTTAACGTTTTTTTTTTTTTTTTTTTTTTTTTTTTTTTTTTTTTTTTTTTTTAAGCATTATTCCCAAAAGGATTATTTAGATACTAAAATATTTTTAGTATCTAAATTATTTAGATGTTTTTAGTATCTAAAATATATACATCATATTAGAAAGTTTATATATCATCATAAAATAAACATCTAAATAATTTAGATACTAAAATTTTAGTATCTAGATTATTTAGATGTTTATTTTATGACGACTAAAACTTATCTTAAATTTTATGGAGGTGGGTTCATGCATGTGAAAACTATTTTTTTGTGACACCGTAAAAACAATTATTAGTCACAATCAAAAATTTTGAATATATATATATATATATATATATATATATATATATATATATATATATATATATATATATATAATAAAATTTCATCACTTTTAAAATTAACATTTTTTTAAATCACTATTATATATATTCGAATTAAAATATTATTCATACTTGTATAATTTTATGCAATATTTATATCAGAATAGTGAGAATACTATGATGTGTGTAATTTCAAAATCTTAACAATATTCTAAGTGAAATATTCAAATAAAACGATTTTTTATGATTTTTTTATTTAGATATTAAAATTCATGATAATGATGTGTAATTTTTTATTTTTTGTTTTCGAAAACTTGTGATTGAAAATCATTCACAATATCTTACAAAATTAAGAGTTCTTAAATGAACCAATTAAAATTTAATTTTCATAATAATTGAGATATTATTATCAACTTCAAAATATATATATTAATATGATATATACTAGGAGCACGTCCTGAAAATTTAACATATTTTCATTATTTTAAATAGTAATAGCAAAAACCTAACGTGATACAAATACAAAAAGTTGTTTTATTTCATTGATATTTATAATGCAACATGAAATTTTGTTTGGTAGTCAATTTTTAGTAGGGTTATATGATTGAAAGTAAAACTATAAACACTGTATTCTCCACTTCAGATATTAAAAATTGATTAAACGTACACTTTACATTAGATTAAATATGTTTGATTTTTGTCATTATTGGCTTTCCACGTCTTCAACTGTGTTGGGCAATTTATTTACTTTGATTTTTGTTTAATAAAAAGTTTATACACACACACACACACATATATATATATATAATATATATATATATATATATAATATATATATATAATATATATATATATATATATATATATATATATATATATATATATATATATTGCATACTCAAATAATTGGTTTAAAATTCTTTCTTTCGTGATTTAAATTTGTATACAGAAGGGATAGCTTCATAACTCATAGAGCCTTTTGTGATGCACTTGCTGAAGAAAACAACAAATTAAGCCAAACCATGCAACAAGACCATCATAGCACTCCTGATGATCAACTCACCCAACACATCAATCACACAATATCCATCACTTCACCAGAATTCAGCCATGGTGGTATGCCGGACTCCAAAACCCCATCGGAATTACTGCCTCTGAACATCATGCAAGGTGGTCGTGGCAGCCTATTTGGCAGTAGCCCCAGAAATGGATCGCCTTCTTCTCTGCAACTAGGCGGATCCACGCTCTCGTCCCCTCTTACTTCAGCCACAGCTTTGTTACAGAAAGCAGCCCAAATGGGAGCTACGTCTAGCAATGGTAGCAATAATATTAATAATAATAATGGTAGCATGAATAACCTTGTTACTACCATGGCACCTCCATCTTTTGGTGGGGGTGGTGCATACAGCGGTACTGAGACGCTGATTGACCAGTATCATCCTCATCAATCACATTTAGCTGGGATTATCGGCGGTGGATTCTCAAGCCAGTTCCAAGAAACTTCCATGTCACGGTTCTTTAACCCAAGTATCAATAATGGAGGAGGGCATAGCGATGACGTAGGATTGTACTCGGGGTACATGAACCCTCGGAAAGAGCTCATTATGAACAATAACAACAACAATGTTGGGCATAACGCAAATCCTGGATTGAATGATTCCAACAATCCCTTTTTGAGGTTTAAAAGGGACGGGAACGGTGAAAACTTGACCGTTGATTTCTTGGGGGTCGGAGGAATGAGACTCAGAAGTTTTAATGAACAACACCACCAAGGAATGGAAATTTGAAACATTTGATTTTGTTAATAATCGACCACATGCATAGCGCATTATCAAGTGTATAAACAATATTTGTGCATGTCACTCTTTTTGTGTAATATATTGTTATATTCACGAACGATGCTTTCAATCTCGACTTCAACTTAGATAATTTTTTAGTGGTCCTTTAAAGGCTTTTGTAGGAAATATAAAAATGAGCCTAAAAATACAGTTTTTTTATATATAAGCAAAATTTATTAATACTATCACAAATCGATAATTATAATACAAACAATCAAAACAAAAGAATAATAACACAATACATAACCTTACATAGTTACATAAATCGTGAGCTCCTTGCGTTTTTGGAAGCAAACTTGTTCCCCAATTCTTTACAATCAATATTCTTCAATATGTCGTTTTCAATATCATTGTCAATCCATTAAATCTTTATTATGATATTATGAACCGTCAGAAAGACCATATCAATTTCAATTTTGAGAAACCTCTTTATATAAGCATTATTGTTATTGGAATAGTCAACAAGATACTCTATGCAACAAATGCATTAAGTAAACAATACACTTTTTCATATATTATAAAACATCATTGGGGTTGGTAATTTCAGTTGGTAAGAATTTATCAAGAAATTAACTCCAGACTGTTAATTGGTTTCAAAATATAATCGTTCACCATACTTCAGTGTAGGTTTCAGATGACTACAACACAACTTAAATTTTGTCGTCGAATTACTTCAATTTTTAAGGAAACAAAAGCATGAAATTCTTTTCATACTCTTTGTAGTGTTCAAATCTCGTTTTCAGTGATGCACGTGCTTGATCTACAATATATAAAAAATAAATAAGTTTACATCATGATTACTTGAATTTTCATCAAATTGTTTTTTTTTTCTATGAACAGAGCGTTTTTGAAGGAATACATTATTAATTGAAAGTTTTGTAACATTATCAGTCGCCCTAGAGAACCATGTTTCTCCAAACTCATTGAACTATTCAACCAAGTTCACCATGCGTAATATTTGATACCAAATGATTATTGGTACCAAAATTGAGGTAATTTCTAGTCATTAAATGTTTTATTATGAAGTGAGTGGCCAAGGTGTCATAAAATTAAACTTTAAATGTTAGATTTGTGTAACATCTCGACTCCCAAATATAAAAAGTATATATATTTATGAGTTGCTTGAGCAACTCGACGAGTTGGATGCCCAAACTCGTCGAGTAGAGACAGATTTGGCCACGTGGGTTTTATGACCAACTCGATGAGTCGGGGGGACCAACTCGACGAGTTGGTGCTGTGAGAGGAAACCCTAAATCTCTGAGGTTTGGTCCTATTTAAAGGACCTTAAGCCCTCATTTCTACCTCACCGGCCACTTTACTCCCCTGTGTGAAACCCTAATCGTCCATATTGATCTAAGACAGAAAGAGAGCTAATCTTTGGGCATTTTAGTACACTTTTGGAAGAGAATATAAGAGTATCAAAGCAAGGAACGAGAAGGGATTGTTGGATCTGGTGTTATTTCATCTATAGCTTTGGTTGAAGGTAAAAGTCTCCACCTTGCTCATTAGTTTGATTAGATCTCATTTTATGGAGTTTTAGGGCTTATTCCATCTTTCCTAGAGGCTTTGAGTGTGTTGAGCTTACCAAGAGATTGAGACTTCAGATATGGACCTTGTGAGGTCCCTAGAGTCTAAAGGTCCCAGCTTTATCCAACTAATAGAAGAGCTTTTATGATTAAGACCCAAATGGAGATTGTTTTGGCATTACAAGCCCCAAGTGCCATGCATGGACGTAAAGCTTGTAGCTTTATGTAGTATCTCATCCTTGGGAGGCTAGATCTAGAGTTTGGGGTTGTAAATCTTCCTTAAAACGTCTGAATGAGAAAAGGGTCTGAAGGGACTTGACGAGTCGATAAGTTGACTTGACGAGTCAGCTAGGGTTTTCCCCGACAAGTCTGGACATGAGTAACTCAGCGAGTTGATGAGACACCTCGACGAGTTAAGTTGGGTTTTCACGACATTTATGAAGGAATGAGGGGACTGGACGAGTCACATAGTTGCACTCGATGAGTCGGGTCAACATGGACTGTTGACTCGATTGTTGACTTTAGGGTTTGATCAAGACAGGGGTTATGGAGACCATGGAGGGGTAGAATAGTCTTTTACCCATTCCAAGAGATTAGAGAGAGAAAATAACTTCGTTTATTTGGAGTTATGATTTAAGTGTTAATTAGAGATAATTATCGTATGTGTTAGGCGGAGGCTAGATCGGTGATTCGTGTACGAGGTCTATTTGCTTACTTACTAGGTGACTCTTCTCACTATACTTACCTTGAGTGGTAATTTTATGTGACCGGGGGGTCTTGTGTGCTTATATTGAGTATTGTGATATCATGCATTATATCATTGTGATTTATACTGTGTATTATGCTGAGCTTTACTGAGTTAGGACCGGAGGGTCCACTAAGACACATCGACCAGAGGGTCTTATTTGAGATATAGCCATGAGAGACTAATGGGATATGTGTGGTTTTTTGGGGAACTCACTAAGCTTCGTGTTTACCGTGTTATGTGTTATGTGTTTCAGGTACTTCTCAGGATCACGGGAAGGCGCCGACTTGATTGTACACACGAGATGAAGTTTATGTTTTTGAGGATCCTGGATTTTATTAAACAATTTATGAATTTGTGTTTTTGACAATTTGACAAATTGTGGTTTTTGGAATGTGATATTGAGAATTTTGTGGTTTGAAAATGAAAATTTTGTTTGAAAATTTACAGTGCTACAGTTATTAGGGTTAGGGAGGCATGGAAATAAATTGTAATATTAGAGGGACTATTTAGTAAAACTTTGGTATAACTTCCAAGGAGGAGGATCGATCCTCCTCGTTACATCCGTTCTATGCATCGCTCATACCAAGTATATTAGCAAGAAAAAAATCGATGTACCCTATTGCTTGCTTTGTGTGTCATCGATCAAACACCAAGAAGAGAAGAAGAAAAAATGTGATCAGTATAGGAGGGGGGAAAGAAGGGCATCAAGCCGAGCATGGAGGAGGGTAAAATAAAGTTTACTCTTGTTGATCCTAAGGGGAGAGGGTTGCAAAAATCATTCAATTAGTTGGCAAATTATCTACTATGTTTCTTGTCGAGTTTACATCTCAATTACTTGTCAATTGGATGACTTGTGGGTTAAATTTCATCTTATTTGGTGTTAATTATCCTACCTTCTTCACTTTGTAATTCTTATTTGTTTAACTTCCAACTTAGTGGGTGTTTTATAGATGGCTAATTGTTGTGAAAATGTTGTTGTAAACAGCCATAAGACTTCCATTGTTTATGTCCTTGAATTACTCCAAGTTTTGGCGACATTGTCTTCTTTGTTGATTGTTAAAATTCATGTTGTTGTTATCTTGATTCAAGAGGATAATTTTATGTAAAAAAGACTATGTTTTGAGTCATCCAAAATATCTCCAAAACATTCCTTAAAGGATTTAATAAGGGGCTTAATGGTGGAGGCAATTCAAGCCCTAGTGGTGTTTCCTCTTTTAGGAATGAACTTTGGTTTTTTCCATAAAAGCAATGTACTTTGAATCATGGCTTGAGGTTCAAATTTTAATTTTAACTTCTTCACATGGTTTTTCTGTTAAGAACTTAATTTCCATCTTTATATTTGATTTTAGTTATGGCTTAATGGGTTAAGTTGTCAATTGATCCTTAAAATGCAGTGTTGAAATTCTAAAAAATTACCAATTTGTCCATGTTTTGAAAAAGAATCTACAAAAATTATTTGGAGTTGGATTGGCGATCCATAAACTTTCAAATTTTGAATTTTAAGTCTAGCCTACCCATGAGTTTTCCTAAGATATGATATTATTGCTAACCAAGGTGAAAATCATATTTTTCACTAACTGGTCGGAAATTAGTTGCACCGACACACTGTCTTTTAAAATTCATAGAAAATTCTAGAAAAATTGTATGGAACGAATGTGGTTGGCTATACGATTGATGTTATCATTGCAGACCTTCAGGAACAACTTGTGGTAAAAGATGTTGAGTTGTAGAGACGCGATCGAGCCATGAAACGGATGCGGTTGGCTACACGAGTTGCCGATCTCTAACCCCAGGAGGATGAAGAAGAGGGGAATGAGGAGCCATGCGAGGTGATAGCTGGGAGTTGCTCAGTTACCCAGGAGCGAGGCAGGAAGCCCACTATATATTGTGGCAAGGGGCAGGGTATTTACTTCAGAAGTATTCAAGGACCGCAAACCCGTTGTCTTTCGAGGAGGAGATGATCCAACATTTTGTATGCAATGGTTGCACAAGATGAGGTAGATTTTCTATTCAAGCGACTTCACTGAGTCACACAAAGTTAGTTATGTTGCATTGAAGCGAGATGGCGAGGCTATTCAGTGGTGGGAGCCGTTGGACTCTGTTGTTCCAAAGGCTACACTTGATTCCATGACTTGGGAGGCCTTCAGCCAAACACTTCAGGAGCTTTTTTGTCCACCGAGCTACATGAGGAGGATCGAATGACAGTTCCTCGCACTGAAAAAAGGAATTATATATGTTGCAAAATACAATTCCTTATTGTTTGAGAAGCTAGTTCGAGAAGAATTACAGTCCTACCGAAGCAAAACAGGTGGGACACTATGCTGAGGGGTTACCAGTAGAGTATGGTGCTAATGTGAGGTAGTGCAACACTTTGGCCATTGTCATGGACAAGGAGTATGTGTATTGAAGTTGATAAGGATACACCATGGTGTGCTATTGCAAAGAGTGGGGAGAAAAGGAAGTGTAATGCCCCCTTCCTAGTACGCATCAGTTCATTTAATGTTGATTTTTGTAAAAGCTACTCGACGAGTTGGTAGCCCTAACTCGTCGAGTAGATGCTAGATTAGACGCGGGGATTTAAATGGTCTACTCAGTGAGTCGAAGCCTGGAATCGACGAGTAGGTCTGGAGGAAACCCTATTTTCGGGGTTTTGCACCCTATTTAAGCCACTTAACCTGTAGCACCTGTTTCCTAGTACGTAAAATTTATCTAAGTATTTGTCATTTTAGCCTTGGACTCGGCGAGTTGTAGGTCCGACTCGCCGAGTAGGGACGCGGTCTGGGGGTACGTTTAAGT